AAGCAGCCTGGCCATTACACCAAAGGTCAGAGTTGTCATATGATCCAGCAGTTCCACTCACAGGTATATATACTCAAGAGAAATATAAACATGTCCATGCAAAAACTTGCACACAGATGTTCACAGAGCATTATTCATAACAGCAAAGAAGTGGAAACAACCCAAATGTCCATCAAACGACAAACAAAATGTGGTATATCCATATAATGACATATTATTCAGCTATAAAAAGGAATGAAGTATTGATACATGTACAACACAGATGAACCTTGACAATATTATGCTAAGTGAGAGAAGCCAGTCACATATTATATGAATCTAGTTATATGCAATGTCCAGATTGCAAATCCACAGAGACAAAAAGTATAATAGATTAGTGGTTGCTTAGACATGAGGGGGATGGGGAGATGAAGGGTGACAGCTAAAGTGTACAGGGGTGATTAAAATTCTAAAATCAATTGCGGTGATGGTTGCACAACTCTGTGAACATTCTGAAAACCACTGAAGCTCTTAAACGAGTGAATCGTAAGATCATAAAAAATGAATGACAAATACAACTCCATTTCACTTGAAGAATTAAAAAATACTTGCTTATTCCATTAATATCCTTAAGCCTGCACACATTTACTATTAAGTCAGGTAAACCAACTCCCATCTTTTGGCTCCTCCTGGGGTTCCCCCAACAGTATCATTCCCTGGTAGTCTTCCCGAATCCACTTTCCTTCTGCAGGAGAAGGGATCTCCCTCAGGCTTCCCAGCAGGCCATCTACCCTCAAGTTACTTCTTCCTTTGGGGCAGGAGTTTACGGTCATCAAAACTAAAAAGTTGAGATTTGGGACTTCTTTCCCCCCGAGATGGAGTCTTGGCTCTGTTACCAGGCTGGAGTGTAGTGGCACGATCTCAGCTCACTGCAACCTCCACCTCCCGAGTTCAAGCGATTCTCCTGCCTCAGCCTCCTGAGTAGCTGGTACTACAGGCACATACCACCACACCCAGCTAATTTTTGTATTTTTAGTAGAGATGGAGTTTCACCATGTTGGCCAGGATGGTTTCGATCTCTTGACCTCCTGATCCACCCGCCTTGGCCTCTCAAAGTGTTGGGATTACAGGCGTGACGGCCATCGCGCCCGGCCTGGGAGTTCATTTATACTCCATTTGTTGACAGCTTCTGGCACTTGAAGAGTCTCAGAGTGATATCTTCTGTTGTAGCCAGATGTATCTGGGTAGGGAGATAGTTGTGGCCTAGTGACAAAAGCCCTGGACTCAAAGAAGTTCTCCAGAAATCTGTACTCAAACTCTTATTCTGTCCCTTACAGACTGTGTGACCCTGAGCAAGTCACTCAACCACTCCGACCCTCACTTTCCTCATTTGTAAAATGGGGATAATACCACCTAATCCACAGGGATATTCTGAAGATTAGTGCTTATAAAAGTATCTGAAACAGAGATAATAATTCAACAAACTATTTGCCAGGCTCCATACTCGGGGCTGGGGACACAAAGATAAATGTAATACTAGCTGCCTTCAAATTGTTCACAGTGTACAAATGCTGATGATAGGAAATCATTTTCTTTCTTCCTTACCTTACCTTCTTTTAGGATGGCAATAGGAATTTCAGAACTTTGATTCTCTGCCTTGGTATACTCTCAACTTTGTGCTTTCAATGCTGATAGGATAGCAGTTACGTTTACATCCTTCATTCTCAAAAAGGGGGAGATGGAATGGTTACTTAAATGTTATGGGGAAAATATCCCTTTTATGCTTTCAAGTTATTATTACCACTGATTTCTAACTCTTCCAGGCCTTACCCAAAGGTGTTCCATGGTAAAAGTATGCTTATTCACACCTTAAAATAACTTACAGAAATACTCCCATTCTCTCTCACTCCTTGTACCCCCAAGCCTGCCTGGATTTACATTCCCGAAAAGACCGGTCACAAAGGATCATTTCTCAGTTAGGCTACCTTAATGACCAATTTCTAACTCACCTCCTGTTTTTGAGATCAGTTTCTACTCTAAAAACGAAAGAGCTTTCAAGAAAAATACTAGATCAGTTTATAAACAGAGGTTGACATAAAGTCACTACAGGGAAAATGTAGAGCTCAAAATGTTCTAACACATAACCCATCCTTCCTTTGGTAGGACAATTTCACAAGTCACAGAAAAATATTTTTCATTTTAGAATAGATTTTAAGAGAGCCTTTGCCAAGAACCAGTTCTTTAAATGTTCAATTGAATTTTAAGCAGTATTATACACGTCCAAGAACATCATGCTATTTTTAGCTAACAGGTAGGGCTGCTGTGTCTACAACCGTTTGGAGCAATCAGGAATGAAACCATTAAATAGCATCTCTCACTGTGGTATCTTATCATTTAGCATTTCTATTTCTATTTTAATATTTTCCAAAGCCTCATCATAAAAAACACCTGTAAAGCACCCATGCTAGGCACAATACAAAGTTCAAATAGAAAGAAACAGTTCCTATACTTCATTATGGGTTAAACCCACATTAAGCAAACCAGATATATGAAAGAATCTTGGCTGGGCATTATGGCTCATGCCTGTAATCCCAGTGCTTTGGGACGTCGAGGTGGGAGGATCACTTGGGCCAGGTGTTCGAGGCCAGCATGGGCAACATAGTAAGACCCTGTTTCTATAAATAAATTAATAAATTAAAAAAAAGAATTTCACAGAGCATTCTCAAGTTGCCACCAACCTCCTAAGTGTCCAGGGGAGGAACATTAGGAAGCAATTGTCCTAAACCCATCGTCTTTCTAATGCTTGCACACCTTTTATGTATTAAAAGAAGAGGGGCAAGGAAAATGTTCTAGGCCGGAAGCGGTGATCCCAGCACTTTGGGAGGCTGAGGTGGGTGGACTGCTTGAGCTCAGGAGTTCAAGACCAGCCTAGGCAACATGGCAAACCCCCATCTCTACTAAAAATACAAAAATTAGGCTGGGCATGGTGGCTCACACCTGTAATCCAAGCACTTTGGGAGGCCAAGGCAGGAAGAATGCTTGAGCCCAGGAGTTCAAGACCAGCCTGGGCAACATGGTGAAACCCCATCTTTACAAAAAATACAAAAATTAGCCAGGTGTAGTGGCGCACACCTATAGTCCCAGCTACTCAGGAGTCTGAGGTGGGAGGATGGCTTGAGCTTGAGAGGCGGAGGTTGCAGCGAGCCGAGATCGTGCTACTGCACTCCAGCCTGGGAGACAGAGCCTGACACTGTCTCACGCACACACAAAAAAAGTTCTAAAACTTACTGTGGTGATGGAGGCACAACCATACCTAAAAGCCACTGAAATATATACCTAAATGAGGGAACTGTATGGTAAATGACTTCTATCTCAACACCATTTTAAAAAGGAGACAAATTGTCTTACTCTGATTGTTCTAATTAGTCAAACCTATTTTTGAAGCTCTCATGCTAAAGGCTATCTAGGTAAAGGCTGCACTGGTTTGGCAAGGGCGCCTCAGAGGCCACCATGGAGATCACTCTAACCTTCCCCTCCATGTCCATCTTTCTTTCCCTTACACTCTTCCTAATCTCTCCTCTGTTATTTCCCCAGTCTCCTTGCTGCTCCTCCGCTTTTAACTAGGTGTTAGGTTCCTCAAGTGTTCACAAGCATGGTCTGTCCCAACTAGTAGACCTCAGGATTAAGCTGATTTGCTGACCCTCTGATGCTGACCTTCGGTAACTTTCCCTTCTTAGGCAAGTTATATCTTGGTTCTCTTGTCATTGTTTCAGTATGGGGAATTGGACCACTTGATCCTTTCCAGCTCTCACGTTCACATAAAGAAAAAAAATTCAAGTAATGAACACTTACTTGGCCAATCACATGCAAAGTCTCTTGCCAACCGACATACATGTATTTGGATTATTCATTTTGTAAATACACCGTGATGCAATCCTCTGAAGAACCACACTTATTTATAAATTGATCAACATGGAGTCCTTATTTTTAAAAACTAGCACTTTATCAAAGAAAATTTAGAGCCCAACACAGAATGCTTGACAGTCCCTCTGAACCAGTCTCCAGGGATCTGTTTTCAAAGGGGGGGAAAAAATAAAAGCTTTTGCATGTTGGGGACTTGTTGGATTTACCAAACCAAAGGAGGAAGTAAGATTGATTGGGGTGGCAGAGCCTTAACAACAGTGGTTCACCTAAATCCTAAAAGAACAAAGGCCTTATTTGGCAAGTGGTAGAAAGAACTAGCATAAAACAGCACCTCAACCTACATTATAAACTCTCAGAAATATGCTCAGAGAGCAATAAACACTGCAGGAATCTCCTTACCCTGGACAAGTTGCAGCTTTTATGCAAACCAGTTGCATTCCCCTAACAAGTCATAGAAATATGTAGTCACTAGTATCCAGCATACCCCCACCACACACATTCACAGTATTGTTTCCATGTGCCCAACATCAGAGAGCAAAACCGAAAGAAACATCAATTTCTCCTACAACATACACACACAAATATGCAAGAAAAACCATTTCCTTTGCAGAACCTGTGTTGTCTAAGTTGTGGGCATGAAATGCATAAATATTAGTTGCTAATAAAAATCAGACGGTTAGCTCTGTACTGGAAAGCGAACAGCACACACATAAATCATAAAAAAACAATAACCCTAAGGTGCGTTCCTCATCAGTAAGCTGAAAACCAAACAAGGAGAGAAATGACTCAAAGTGTCCATGTGAATCCCTCCTTCCCATTACCTCAGACCAACAAGCTCTCTCTCCTGCGAGTTACCTCCTTACACTTCTGTCCTCGATCAGAAGAGCCTCGTGGAAAAGGTCGCAGGCTCTCTCTTCTTTCCCTTCAGGCTCTTGAGGCACTGAAGGAGCATGGGGGGAGGGGAACGGAAAGGACAAAGGTAGGCGCTTTCCATCCCTCTCAGCTTGGCGACAGGGCTCCTGGCCTCTCCCCTTCTCATCGCGGAAATAGAGCACCTGCCAGGGAGAGGTCGGTCCCTTCCACCTTAGTAACCGGCCCACAGGGCCTAGGTGTCCCAGGAGCCCAGGCGCTGCAGCCCTAGGGGACAAATGGGAGGAGGCGAAAGAAGTCGGGAATGGTACGAATCCCTTGCAAACAAAAGGGAGGGGGCAGAATACCAATCCGTTCGCGGCTGTTCTCAGAGGTGGCCAGGTTGCGTGGAGAAATGGGTTTCGGGGGAGGGGAAGATTTAGAAAATTCCTCTGGGGCAAGGGATTAGGGAGCTGCTTGGGGGCGCAGCAGCCGGCAGGAAGGGGGCTGAGACAGGACAGAGGCCCTGGGGCAAGAAGGGGGCACAGCTCGCGGTGGGGGAGAGGTGACGGCCAAGAGGTGAAGGCCAGACTGGGCCCAGTGTGGGGTGAGCGGGAGCAGAGCCCCGCGCGGCGCTCCGAGGGGCCCTGAGCAGGGTCTCAGAAGGAGGCTGGGGGCACGCAACGAAGGCATTCGGGGGAGAGGGGCAGAGTTGGGGGACACAGTGTTGGAAAAGAGGCTGAGAACAGAGCCGTAGAGAGGTTAGGGGGGACTGCGAGGGGGCCTGACCCCCGTCCGCCCCACCTCACCTGGCGCCGGGTCGGAGTCCAGGTCTAGTGCTGAGAAAGCGCCAGCTCCAGCCAGTCCCTCCGTCCCGCGCGGGAGACCACGGACACAAAGCGGGGCGCGCGGGAGGAGGGGAGGAGAGAGGAGGGGGAAGGAGGGAGGAGGAGGAGGAGACGCCTGAGGCGCGCGAGTGGGGGAAGGAGGGGCACCCGCCGCCCTCCTCCTGGGTCAGGGGGCGGGGCATGCGGCTGGAGGCCGCGCTCAGCCGGCCAATGGCCACTCCACCTGCCCGCAGGCTAGGGCGCGCCTTCCCGCGGCTCACCTCGGCACCTGGGCCTCGGTTGGCCCTAGCCAATCAAACGCCTTTATTTGCAATGACCAGCCCCGCCCATTCGCCCCAGCCAAGGGCTGCTCACTGAGAATACAAAGAAGGCCCCCCGGAGGGGAGGGAGTAGACTCCAGCTCGCCTATCCCAAGGGCATGGTATCACCTTTTCAGCGCGTTTATGGGTCTTTCACGGTCATCTTGAGGAGAGGGGAGTGGGGGTCACAGAGGTTTGGCCCAAGATCACTGAAGAGGTCGGATCTCTTCTACCTGAGGTCCTTCTAACCAAGAGCCGCTCTTCCTCTTCCAGGGAACACAGTTCCCTGTCTTCTCCTGTGGGCCCTCCGCCCCCTCCCCTTTTTCCAATCGCCCTAATCTTTGGATGCTGCTTCCCTTAGGCTGCTGCCCACTACTGGCCTTCTCCTGCACTGCAGCCCACATCAGCAGGCTCTGAGCACAGCCTTAATTGATGCTTCCAAGCTGCCCAAACCAACCCCTATCCAGAAGGAAAAGGAGAGAGGAAGAGGTTACTGCCCTAGGGTAGAAGGGACCTGGTCAAGTGGCTTTGTTACCTAGGATGGCAAAAAGCCAGCACGTAATGTAAGTCTAACTCCCCCACATCATCTCTTCCCACCTTCCCTTCTCCTACCTTCAGGTCTGTACTGGGCCACAATGGTGACTGACTGGCCGGCCCGTTTCAGAGCAGCTGCAGCCTGCTCATGAGTTGCATTCCTCAGATTCACTCCATTCACCTGTCCAAAGAGAGAAGCTGTGAGCCACCCCAAAAGCAAGAAAGGGGGTCCTCTGCACTAGCAGTTAGGTGAGGGAAATGGGTACCCCACCCCTAAGCCTGTTTAGATGCCTTTCCCAATATTCCAACCTTGCCCCTAAAACAAGGCCTAAAGGATACGACATCTCTAGTGTAATAATTATCTTCATAAAGGTCGAATGCCAATCAGGGTTAAGATCCAAGAGGCATTCATTTCCTCCTCAAAGGTAAGTCTGATCCTGGTCCCTGTCACTAAGGATGTCTACAAAAACAAGATAAGTTTTCTCCAGTCCTTAGCCCTCCCCTCATCTCAAGAAGCATTCCTCGGAGGAAGTAAGGTCTCTCGCTCTCCAGTTTACACTGACACAGTTCCCATCCTCCCACCTCTCCTTTGTCTCCTCACCGATAAGATCCGGTCTCCCCTGCGCAGCTCCCCACTCAGGTCAGCTGGGCCTCCTGCCAGGATGAAGGAGACAAAAATGCCTTCTCCATCCTCTCCTCCTACGATGTTGAAGCCCAGGCCTGTGGAACCTTTGTGCAGGATGATCTTGCGGGGCTCTCTGGTGGGAAAGGAGTGGAGGAGTAAGGACTAGGTAGATACGGACTGTTGTCCTTTGAGGGCCAGCCTGGAACAAGGTCCATACTTGCTGCAGGGAGTAAGGATGTGGTTCCCTGTGTATGATACCCAGAGCCTCCCTTTGTCTCCTGAAACCTGCTTGGCTGCTGTTCTGTCAGGTGCCAAGTTTCAGTTCCTCTTCCCTCCCTTCTTTCCAAGGGCTTGCAGTCAACTTCCCAGTGGACAGTCCCCTACTCTCTCGGGTCAACAAATTCCTACCCTGAACTTCAGAGACCAAATCTCAGAGCCCACTCACTGGTCCTCTTCCTTCCCAGATACTCCTATCCTACCAATCCGTGTGATGGACCCTGGACCACAAGAAGAGGAAGCAGTTGGGGCAGTGAAGTCACCCTGGGGTTGACTGCACTCATCATCCACAGGAAGTGCACACTTACTTCACAGATACTCTTCTGCAGTCTCAAAATTTCACCCATCAACTATGACCCCTCCTACCTTCTGCCCCAACAACATATTTAATCAGCAGCTAACACTATGTAGTCCCAGGGGGTTGCAGCGCCTGGGTTCTTAGGGGGACCCCAGGTTCCCAAAAGGAGTTTAGAAGCCAAACTGAAGAGAGCAAACAAGCACATGAAAAATGCGAGTAAAACTAACCACATCTAACGAAGCCCTCTGTAAAAGGTCACAGTGCCATCAGCCCAACTCCCAGGGCACGTTCCCGGCCCACCGCCTTCACTTGTTACAAGCATCTTTCCTCGGAGGAGCCCAAAGCCCCAAGCAAGACTCTTCCTTTCTTGCTCCCAGTCTCAGGGGCGAGGCTCCCTCCCTGAGTTCCAGATGCTCTTGCTCCTAGCCCTCCACTCCTACCTGGCATCCCCTCCGGGCCGCAGGGAGCGGAGCGGCCAGGCCCACCTCTGCGAAGCCCTCCTCCAGGCCGAAGCGGAGGCGGAGCCCAAGCCCGTGGCCAAGCCGGGGCCCTTGGAGAACTTGCGGGCCCTCTCCATAGCTCCTCTGTCTCTCCCCCGGCCGCCTACCCTTCCGGCTCCACTGCTGCCTGCCCGCCAGCCTCCCGGGCCCCACCCTGCAAACCTGTCCCCCGGAACCCCGGCCGGCCCGACCAGTTCCAGGCCCCGCGCAGCCGCCGCCGCCGCCAGCGGGGCGGGGCGGGGCCGTTGCCGGCGAGGCCACCGGGCCGGTCAGAGTCCCGCCAGCCTCACCGGCTGAACTACTTTCTTCCCTAATTTGAAATGGTTGCAGCAGAGCGAGCTGCAACTATCTCAGGGAAGGAAACTCCGCTGCCTTCACCTCCTCAGCCCCCTAAACACTCCACCCCATCGTTTCTTTATCTGCACTTTTGGACCGGGGCCACTCACTCGGCACTCCCCCTGATGGTAGAACTTGTCCCTGCAGCCACTTCTGTCCCTCTCTAGGTCCCCAAGGCCTGAGAGAGGGCCTCGGACCCCAAAGCCGGGAGTGATGAGGGTCTTACCCTCTTCTTTTCCATACTACAAGGAGCCTGTGGCCGGCCAGAAACGGAGAAACGGATTCCTCCCCTCCCCAATTTCTGGGTAGATTGAATGGGATGTTGAGTGGGGGGGGGGGTTGGTCTTACCTGGTGAAGTCCTCCTCAGCCAGCATGTGCCTGGGAATAGGAGAGTAGCGGGTGGGGGGAACCTGAGGAGGAGCAGGGTAGCTGACCTTGCTCTCCACAGCCCCGAGATAACCCAGGCTGGAATTATGGCTTATGTGGTTGTCAGCCAAGGCAGTAAAAGCTGGAATCAAGAAAGGGAGACAAAAGTTCAGAGACTGGTCGAGGCAGGTACCCCAAACTCCTCCAAGGACTTTCCCCCACACCCCACTTCAGGTGCAAAAGAGACCCAGGGATGCTGATTCCTCAGGCCGCACCTCCCCACTCCATCCACCCGCCACCCAGGGTTCCTCCTCCGCAGTCCCTTTCTAAATCCTTGGCTCACTCCTGTGAGTCTTAGAAAGAGCTGAAGTCAAGGCAGTCTACAAAGAAAGGCATGACTAGAGGTGTGACTAATAATAATCCCTCACATCTCTATAGCCTAATACAGTTTTCCAAGGGCTTTCTCATCCATGATCTCATTTGATCCTTGCAGCAGTCCTATGAGGAAGGCAGCACATACATCATTAGCTCCTTTTTGCCAAAGAGGAAACAAAAAACAGGTGAAAGGGACTTGTCTAAGGGCACCCAGCTCTAAGGGACAGAGCTGGGGGCCGGGCACGGTGGTTCACGCCTGTAATCCCAGCACTTTGGGAGTCCGAGGCGGGCGGATCACGAGGTCAGGAGTTTGAGACCATTCTGGCCAACATGGAGAAACCCCATCTCTACTAAAAATACAAAAAATTAGCCAGGCGTGGTGGCAGGCGCCTGTAGTCCCAGCTACTCGGGAGGCTGAGGCAGGAGAATTGCTTGAACCTGGGAGGCGGAGGTTGCAGTGAGCCAAGAGCGTGCCACTACACTCCACCCTGGCAACAGAGCGAGACTCTGTCTCAAATAAACAAACAAAAAAATAAAGACAGACCTGGGATCCGGACTCACTTCTGTGCACTATCCTCTGCAGCTTCTCTTTTTCCTCTTTTTAAAATTCACTGTCCATAGAAGTTGTCAAAAATTGCCAATGCTGACTCTATGGCAAGTCTTCACGGTGGGGCACTGAGTAAAGTTTTCAATTAATAATAATGGCACCTCAGATAAACCTTCTTGGCTGCTACAGTGCCACCACTGAGCAAAGCTGCTTGGCCTGTCTTAACAAGGGGTATGAACTTCTTCCCCTCCAGAAACCAGGGGACAGAGCTTTAGGCCAGGGACAGGGGCTGATGAGTACGTACTGCTGGCGTAGTCAGGGGGAGCGTACATGTCGTTGAGGTGGAGGCTGCCTGGCTTGGCCACCTTCAAATACACCATATCAGATGTGTTCTTCAGTGAGGCCACAGCTTCCTCGTGCCTCACATCCTGCAGATTGGTGTTGTTCACCTAGAAGACGAGAGGCCTCAGGCTGGGACTTGGGAGAAGGAGAGGCTTCTCCAGGGAACCCGAGGGATGCCTTTTCAGTGAAATTCAACAGCATGCTAACAGAGGCCCAAGTATAGCGCTGTGAGGAGCAGAGGCAGGAAGTAGGGGATAGGGCAAGACCCTGGCCACAGAAAGAAGTAGGGCCTTTGTATCTGGGCAAACACAACACAGATGATAACTCTTGAAATTCCCCCATGATGCCTCATCCCTGAGTGAGGTTTAGGCAGAGTGAGGGGTACTGGAGCTCCTCCTCCCTACCCTACCATTTGGGCATCCCCATAAAGTCTGTCTCACCGCCAGCAGCCGGTCCCCGATCTGTAGGCGTCCATCCTTCTGAGCAGCACCCCCCTCAATGATCTTGGTGATGTAGATGCTGTTGTCTCCTGGGATGTGCTGGTTGCCAATACCCCCAGCAATGCTGAAACCCAGGCCTGAGTGGAAGCCAGCAGGGGGTAGGAGAGGCCCACAAGGAGAGGTTAAAGTGTTGTCGATCCCAAATCCAAGCCCCCTCCCCCAGCCAACCCACTGGCCCCACAGGAGCTCCCTCTGGGGGATCCAAACACTAAGCTGCCATCCCCAGATGAGTAAGGGTGAGGCCTGAGGTCAAAAAAGTAGGCTGTGAGTTGGAACAGGGGGAGTCAGGCAAGGAGTAAGGCCATTCCCTTCCAATTCCCTATGGGGCCAGATGGGATCTGGGGCCTAGGGCTCTGGCTGGAGCACAGGAACCTGGAGGGCCGCACCTTTGGGCCCTTTGAGCAGGTTGACCTCCATGATGGTCTCAGGTGGAGGCTGTCGTCTCCGCACCACCAATCGCACCACAGGGCCTGCCTCCTTCAGCGCCTCCACCGCCCGGCTGTGTACCACCTCCGACACGTCCACCTCATTCACCCGAAGCACACAGTCATTCACCCTGTGGGGGAAGCCCGAGACGCATGACACTGTGCCCCCACCCCTCCACTCCCTCTCCTGCTTCCTCCCACTTCTCTGTCCTCCCCTCCTCTGCCCTCCCACCCTGCCCTCAGATCTAATGGAAGGGTCATCCTGCCAGGCAGGCTTTCCTCCCCTCATCTCTATCCTGTCCTTGCCACCCACAACCCTGCTTCCAGGCCATCTCACCCCAGCCTCCCATCCATGGCAGCTGCTCCACCAGGGATAATCTTGGTAATAAAGATGCCAGGGTCATCAGGGACATGGGGATTGTCGATGCCACCTGCAATACTGAAGCCCAGGCCAGAGTTGCCCTGCAGAAGTGGGAAGAAAGGCACAGTCTGTTCTCTCTGAGGGCAAAAAAGAGAGTTCTGGGTACCCCATCTCCCCTTATGTCCCAGAGCTAGTTCTCCAGGTCTCAGAAGGGGCCATGGCAGGCTGGGCACATTTGTCAGAAACCCAGCCTCTGCTGACCATTCTGGGAAACCCATCCCCTCCCCAATACCCCAGGCCTCAGTGAACAAGGTCAATTAATATTTGCTAGTGAGTTGATTGATTGATGCAGTGAAGCGGCCTCTGAGGGCCGCTGTTTCTCCATCCTCTTAATGCAGGTCCCCCCATGGGTCTTGAAACCATGATTCGGGGGTCTCCCCTCTCCTGGCTCCAACCCTCTCCTTCCCTTTCCGCTTTTCCCCACTGGCAGACTCACCCGCTCAAGTACAATTTCCTCATATTTGAACATGCCATCGCTGCCATTCACCTAGGGGGAGACACAGGCAATTCCCTCAGTGCCCCCTGCCCTTCCAGTCATCTGCCCCTTGGTCAATCTGCCTCCTCCCCTACTCCCACAATGTAGAAGAGCCCAAGTGCACCCCAGGTCACCTCTTGGCCACAGATGAGGACAGGCTAACCCGGAAGAGGCCACTCCCCACTCACCCCCCACCCCTGCTTTGCTTCCAACCATATCAGGCCAAACCCAGCCGCTCATTTAGCCCAGATCAATTGTCTGAGACTGAGCCAGCCAGTGATGCACTCACCGAGAGGCTGGGCTTCAGTGCCTCGGGGTTCACTAGGAGGAGTGCAGGGCTGGCCTAAGGGGGATGGCAGAGATGGAGCATGACGGGCAAACCATGCCACACCCAGTGTCCATAGGGGATACCCAGTGGCCTAGACAGATAACCCTTCCCCTTCTGAACCACAGTTCTCCCTGACTGGGGGATCATAGACTCCCACTGTGCCCGAACTGGAAGGACAGCAGACATCATCTTGTCCTATCCCCTTCATGTGACAGTAGGTGACACGGAGGCCCAGAGAGGACATGGGATGTGCCTAAGGGCACACTGGGAGTTAGCGGCAGAGCAATGGGATCTCTAGGTGTTCTTTTGATTACAGTAAGCTCTTAAGGCCCTTGATGTTTTGGTCACTCATCCCCATACCCCAGCAGAGCTCATGGGAGAAAGGACAGTTGCCCCACTTTGGAGCACCTCGTGAATCTTCACTCTATACCTCCTTCTTGGACTCCAGGAACCCAATTCCTCAAATGGGCAGAAGGAGTCAAAGTCCTAATCCATTTTCTACCAGAGGATTTTTGGCCCTGAGCCCTTCGTATTTCTCAGCAGAAAGGGTGAGGGTGGGAGCTGGTCAGGAGTCAGAGACAAAGCCAAGGGTGGGACTGGAGCAAGGTAAACAAGATTCC